GTAGAAGTGATAGCTATTTCGGAAATCACCACATTTCCTCATCGGACTTCTTTCGGTAGGATTCGAACCGACGATCCCACTGATTCAGCCAGTTGCCTACGCACTGTGCTAAGTTCGCCTTGTTAATTCTTGTTGCTTATTTCCACTATTTCCCATGTTAAGCCAACTACAATCAAGTACAACTATTACGCTGCAATTCACTTGATCATGTGGTTGTTGGTTTTGTTGGTTTGTTGTTAATATTTCTACTAGAATGTTTAACTTTTTAGGTGTGCTCTTCCTTATGCTATTTGTTTTTGTTATTTTATGGCCTTATAACCATTATATTCAACAATTTTTTATTGTGATCGAGGCCGGTTTTTTAATGAAAATTTATTGTGGAAAAGCTAAATTTTATGGTTATAATTTGCATTAAATTTTATACATGCGGTATATATGTGTAAAAATTACATCAATATTACCAATAACGACTTTTTTGGAAATATTTTAGCAGTTGCACCATAAACTAGAGAATTACATATTAATAATAATAATAATAATAGATTGGCGCTTACACATATGTTAGTGTTTGGCCGTGTGTGTGTTGTGTTGTCACACAAAGCGGAGGGACCTACAGTTTTACGCCGACTCCGAACGGCGATTGTATTTTTATGAGAAGCTGTTTTTCATCGCGGAAACGCACTCGGAGGTTTGCCATTGCCTGTCGAGGGACGACCGCTGTTAAGAAAAAACCTTTTATTCTATATTTTTTGCGATGTTGCTTTGACCAGGGCTTGAACCCAGGTGCTGATGAGTGAAAGCGCGTACTGCTTACCACTACACCACAGCGGCCGAATTACATATTAAATATACGAAATCAGTTTTCTATTAGTCTTAGGGTCTAAGAAAATCAAAAAAATATATCTAGTATAGTACAGTTGTGCCTCTTTTGTTAGCTTTCACATGACTGAGGGGAGTAACATTGATGACAGCGCAACTAGCAACATATGAGTTTCAACCGTCCAGTTCTGCATCCCTTTTGCAGTAGTTCAGAGATAGTTCTGAAATTTGTAGGGCGGAACTAGCCCTTTGCCAGACTGTCTCTAAATTTTGCTACAGGGATGTTATACATGTGTAACATAGATAAGGTACATATGCATACACACATGTTTGCGTTTAAGTACTAAATAATACATATACCTTCTCAAAAAAATACATTTTGTGAGAGAATTTAGCTATTTACTTGAAAACTAAAATAAAATAATAACAAAATAAATAAATAATATAAAGTTTATCTACACATTGGGGATAAAACTACAATAAAAAAATATATATAAAGAGACAGAAAAAGTAAGGAACCATTCTGTGTGTTACTATATGGACTCATTTTCGATCTATAACTTAATGTATTAAAAGCTTACCGATTTTTTACGATGTCGATGTTAATACTTTGAAGAAGCAACATTGTCACATATTTTTTGAATGCATCTGTATTAGTACACGCTTTAACATTTCCTGGCAATTTGTTAAATAGTTTTGCGCCATAGTTGCGAATAGAGTTTGCACTTTTCCCTGTTCTTAGGAACGTAAGTAGTATAAATATGCTAGCAGCGCTGCTGCTCCGGTTCCAGAACCGCCATAAGGTTTGCTGCTGATCCGGTGGCTCAATCGGAGCAAGCTTTGCTGCTCCGCCAAAAGATGTCGCCAATCGTAATCCAAATTCAGAACCCAGATAAAAGCCGCAAGATGTCGCTGGTGACAAATTTGATTCAGGAACCGGAACCGATAACAGGGTGCTCCGCTGATGGAAATCCGAGAAATCCGATACCATTCAGAACCGGAATAGATCATGATGATGGAAAAAGTGTGTTGGTATGCAGTCAGAAATATATACAAACGTACATACGTACATATGTATATACATATATAGATGCTCCACCCCCACGATTGAGAGAATACAAAGATTGCGCCGATCTCGGACCGCTATTCCTCTCTTAATGAATTTGACAGAATCGTTGTTTGCATGACGTCACACTTGTGCAACTTGTTTACGTTTCCCTTGCAACATTTTTTCTTCTTCTTCCATTCTTGCTCACGTTTTGGCATTTCTCTCTCGCAATTGCACCAGTGTGACGTCACTCAAAAGTTATTCTCCAAAATCCTCTCTGATCGGCGCAATCTTGTATTCTATCATTCTTGCTCCACCCCTAGAAAAGTGTGTTAATAATGTGCACATAGTTGATTGCTAAGTATTTAATATGTATGTGTCAAGAATGATAGAATACAAGATTGCGCCAATGAGAGAGGATTTTTGAGCGTAATTTTTGCGTGACGTCATCTTGGTGCAATCGCGACAGAGAAATGCCAAAACTCATATAAAAATATGTAAACAATGCAGAAAATTGTGTTAATTTTAATGTTACATGACCCATTTTTGCAGGAATCACTAAATATACAAAGGTAGATTAATTAGGAACACGTAGCAATAATTTTGGACATGTAGCCCTTTAGATAACTACGATTTTTAGCACACGAAAAAATGTATGTATTAACAGTGTTTGCAGTTTCATATAGACCAAAAGGAAGGTGTGCAGCAAAGTGAATTTTAGGACTTGCCATTTTAAAAAGACATGCAGAGTGCATATTTATATTTGTGGACGGTAGCCAACCACCATTAACTCCACAGCTTTTATTTGATGACTTTTGTACCATTTCCGAGGGGATGCATGAGTGTGGCTTTTTTGGAAGCAAATATACTATGTCAGTAAAATACAATTGATTTAGAAAAGAAGGTTGAAGCCTGCAAATTGAGTGAGATTTCTTTAGACAGCACAGAAAAAACTCGTAAAAAACCATCCACTTCTACTGCTAACAAAAGATTGCTGGCAAATACAAATTTCAAAAACATTTTAGATGCACCAGTAGTGACTGAGACTGCCTGAAGTGTGCAATCATTTCAGGAAGAGCTTTCTGAAAGCATACAAGCCTTGGGAACTCTCAGCTTGTCCAATGAAAACATTTTACATTATTATGTTACAGTATATTTTGCTTTGCTGATCTATGCTTAAGTGCACATTTAAGATACCTACCCCAAAATGCGCATCAAAAGCATTATTTTTAACATTTATAAGGAAACTACTCTGATAAATGCATTCAATATCCCTGCACATTGGCGATACCTGCCTTAAAAATTGTGCGACTAGTATCAATTATCAATGAAAGTATTACGTTTACCTGCACTGGCCCTACAATTACCTAATTTTTAACCCTTTATTTATTTTGCTCATCTCGCAGAACAACGAAAATGGCTATCAATTTATGTAGTTATATAGATAATTAGATAACATTCGGTAAAAATTTCGCTTGCAGTAATTTCTACATGGTAAGTGCTCCGCCAATATTTGATTTCATAGGGATTCGGATACCTTTCCTCATTGAAGTAGTAAAGAAAAGTCGTTTAAGTGCCTTTTTCGGTTACGTGCACAAGTTTTTCGTGCAAAGAAGGATGTGCAGCTAAGCAAAATATACTGTATATATACGGTGACCATATTTATGGGAGCCGAATACGGGACAAAAAATAATTCTGCAAATTTTTGCAAAAAAAAAAACCTACAGAGCTTAAATCCTTATTCAATTATCCTAGATGTATTATGCCTGAAACAGCACCCTTATAGTAACATCACAAATTTGTAGGATATTCTTCTCGAGATTTTTACCGCGCAAAATTTGTTTAAAAAGATTCGTTAAATTTAATACAATAAAGTGCAATTTTTAAGCCGGTAGGACTTACCGTTAATTTTTGGCATTTTTTTTTTAGACGGTGTTACAAATATTTTTCATACAAAGTATGTTCGACAACTTTTTAAAAGAGAAGAAAATGAGCAGCACTTTCCCCTTGTACTTTATTATACTAAATTTTAATGAGTTACAAAACTGCAAACCATTTTTTTTTTAGATTCTAACTAAAAAGTTTAAAATTTTAGTGAAACATTGCAGAATTATTTTTATAGTTTTTTGCACAAAGTCTGAAATTTGGATTTATATGACTTTTGTTAAGAAAAGAGCTTTACTTTCATAAAAAAATAGTAAACATTAAATACACTAAAGACAAATAGCCAAACCTTGCTAAAATGTCGAGTCCTAATTTATATTTTGGACACTGTATGTATCCCTCGATTACAATCACAGTCATTCGGGTTAGAAAATAATAAATGTTTATGGAAAAAATTACGATTATACATATACCAACATCTCTTAAAACTGGTTCATGGCATTCTATTTTATACGGGACAAATGCAGGGCATCAAAAGAAATACAGAACATTTGGCGTCCCGTATAAAATTAATAAATTACCAGGACAAGTGGTCAAAAAAGAGGACTGTCCAGTATAATACAGGACGGATGGTCACCGTATGTATATACTTGTACAAAAGTTGGACAATAATCTAAGGTTAAGGTATGAGAATTCCGTAACGAATTCGAAAGAAATACCAGACCTTGGTTCACTACAGAAATTTCTAAGCCATGAAGGAAACGCCTTGGAAGTAGCACATGGTTCGGTGTTATCACCTAAAGCACAAAAGTGCCTAAAAAGTGCATACTGGGATGTAACTTTTCTCATTCTATTTTTTTGCCAGAAATTTATGGTTCTTAATACCCAAGAAAGGGGGACAAAATAATACTAAATAAATTATGCAGCAAATGTTTGAAGGCAGGGCACAGTGCTAAAGAATGTAAGAGCATTAACCCAGATACGCCCAAAAGCCTTCCAGAAGGATTTGAAACATCGTTCCTTAAATTTAATTTTCAAACTTGTGGTAACTGCTAACAAACTAGGCTATACATTTTTTAGGTACAGCTAGAACCAAATATCATTGCTTCATGCTTATTTCTGTACGTTTCCATTTAATCAGTGAACGTTGTCCAAGTAAATTGTGCTTATATTTGTGATGGCTGAATTGATAGACCTCGTTGTTGATGGGTAAGTCTTATTCTTTTCTATAATAAATTCTGGATATTAGGCTGTGAGTTTACTCTAAAAATATGTTCAATATAATAACTTATTCGATCACTAGCCATTTGATGTGAATGATTTGTCCGCTGTAGTTTCACAAATACTTACATCCTTCCAGAAGGATTGCGGGCTAATCCAACTACTTTTAAAAACATTTTTTTGCAGAAGGAAGATTACACTAAATGAGTTGTTAGACATCATTGAAACCGCAGACGACGATGACATTCCTGATAATGGATTAGATGTTGCAGTTTTACCCCCAATTAATTGTAATGATGATGTCACTGATGAAGATTCTGGTGAGGAAGACAATCCTACGATCAACAATTTACATGGCAGTCAACTTTGCGCGGAAGCCGTTCTCCTCAACAAAAAGAATTATCAATGTGTTGTTGAAGATGTCGATGAAACCGATCTACCAGAAGAAGTTGCCTCTACGGTGAATATTGAAGGAGGAGGGCGTAAAAGAACTACCTCAGCATCAGCAAATTGTCCGCCCTCCCAAAAGAAAGAAAGCTATTCGTTGTTATAGCTGGATAAAAAGTGAAGTGCTGACCTCAGCTAGTACAGACTAGGCATCAATGGTAACGCGCATTCCGGAAAAAGGCAAAACTTCTTTGGACTACTTTCGTTACTTTATTGACGAGGAAGTTGTTAAAATTTTTGTTGAAAACACCAATTTATATGCAGAAAAACATAACAGAGAGGGCAATTGTACAGAAAATGAAATTCTAACTTTCACTGCGATTTTATTGCTTAGTGGTTACATAAAAGTTCCACGTAAACATATGTATTGGCAATCAAATTTGGAAAGCCATAATACATTGGTTGCAGATGCTATGTCTCGAAACCATTTCCAGTTTATCATGTCTAATTTACATGTATGTGACAACGACAAACTAAGCCCAACTGATAAATTTGCTAAAATAAGGCCATTGTTGGATATGCTGAACAAAAGATTTATGGACTTTTCTCCTCACGAACAAAATCATTCCGTAGACGAGTCGATGGTTCCTTATTTTGGACGCCACAGCGCAATTTATAAGAGGTATGTGATATGAGTAAGATTTAAAAAACATAAAGCATGCATAACAGGTATCCATTATTAGGCAAACCTATCCGTTTTGGAATGAAATTTTGGTGCGGGGGTACGTCAAGTGGCTACTTATCGTGGTTGGATCCATATCAAGGCGCACAACCGGCACAAATAACTACCAAGACAAAGGACTTGGTTATGTTGTAGTTATGACATACGTGGATCAACTTCCTCCTCAAATTCCATTCCGGATATATTTCGACAACTTGTTCACAAGTTTCAATCTATTGAATGATCTGAAAGAGAGAAACATTGAGGCGATTGGAACTATCAGAGTAAATCGAATTGACACGAGCTGCACTTTATCCAATATTGATGTTATGAAAAAGACGGAAAGGGGATCTTATGAATATGTCACTGACCGCCATTCAGGAATATGCTTGACTAGGTGGAACGTCAATAGCATAGTGACGATGGCTACAAATTTTGATTCTGTTCATCCTGTAAAAAATGTTCGGAGATTTTTGAGAGCCAAAAAGAAGAATATCTCAGTTACCCAGCCTAAAGTTTTACATAATTATAATCAATACATGGGAGGAATAGACAGAGCAGATCAAAACATTTCTTTATATAGATGTGGGTTAAGAGGTAAAAGTGGTACTTTCCTCTCCTTACTCATCTAATAGATGTAAGTGAACAAAACGCATGGCAGCTATACAACCGATATGAGGATGATGTGGACCTCGTTGTTCTGCGAGATGAGCAAAATAAATAAAATGTTAAATGGTCCATTTTGGAGTCTAACAAAAGAATAGTTTCGCGGCGAGGTCGAGCTAGCCAGACAGCGCTGATTGATAGCCGATATGATGGCAAAGACCACTATGTATGCAGCTTACCTTTGCTGCCAACATGTAAAAAGCAACAACTGGTTGTCGCAAGAGCTCAAAAAAAGCAACGACGAAATGCATTAAATGCAATGTGACATTGCATGTTGATTGCTTTATAAATTACCACAGGAAATAAAAATGTAACACCATTTTTCTATGTATGTATTTGCTTATTTTCTTTAAATAAAGCTATGAATAAAGCAACAAATATTTGTATATTATATGTAAATTACCACAAAAAAATTAAATCGTAATAACAATTTATCTATGTGTTTCCTTTTTTTCTAAAAAGGTATGAATAAAGCAACTAGCATGTTGAATTTATTTCTTTTACTAAAGAAAAAAATGTTATAAAAAGTTATTGTGGTATTATCCCAAACACCTTCCAGAAGGATGGGGTTTTGTGACCCGGGGGCGGGGGTAAAATCTTAACAAATATAATTTCCCAGTTATTTGAAGGCTACTTAAGCAACATTACACCCTACACCAAAAATAATAATTCGGGTTTATCTGGGTTAAATGCAAAAATTGTAAAGGTAGCCATCATTTTATACTTCACAAAGAAAAAGAAAAGCAACCAAAAGCAAAAAGTGTGATTGCGAAGTCTAATGCGGGTGATATCAAAAGTAAAATTTGCTTACTTGCCACTGCTATTATTGGAATTAAAGCGCGTGATGGAAAAATTGTAAGGACACGCGCTTTACTCGATAATGGATCACAAGCAGTGTTGCCGCGCCCGAAAATAAAGCTTAACCAAAACTTTCAAAAAGTTTGACAAATCCCGTTAAAACTAAGCAACTTATTTATCGGGTCTTATTAAAACGAAAAATGCCTGGAGTTACTGTTTATTTCTTCCTGAGCTTGGTAATTTGGTTATAGAAATAAAAAGTAAGCAAGTCAGTAAGTAAAGGCTCTCTAAGGCTGAGTTTCGTCGTCAAAAGTAAGATTGTTATAATATAAGGGCCAATTTCAAATGAATATTTAAACGGCACTTAAGTTTAATAGTGGATTGTTGTTTAAATGCCATATAGCTTTCGTTGGGTTTCAGATCAACTTTGTTTAAATATGCCAAACAATTGGCAGCACTGCTGCTTATTCCTTGAAATTGTTGTTGCATTTGCATGTTTGTTTACATTTTCTGCTGAACAGCTGATTGTTTTAAGTGGGATTTGGTGGGATTGATTGCATATGTCATATTTAAATAGCAAAATTGGCCATTTAAGTGCAGACTAAATGTATGATCTGAAAAGGAATAGTGGAAATTAATCAACAATCTCTACTTAAGTAGGCCATCTGAAATCGGGCCTAACAGTTGCTAAATTTTAAAACTATTACACATTAGTTGCGTTCGATAACAAAATTAGCCAACACCAGCCAACAATCAAAATGAAGAGAGTAAGCGAAAATTCTCTCCCAAAGGGAAGAAAAAGCAAAAAAGTAAACGAACAGGAAATTAGCCATCACTTGCAAAAACCGGAAGAAGAAGACACACCAGCTGACTTTGTTTATGTTTTATTTGTAAACAAACTGAAATTCATGTTGTCTCCATGGAAGAAAAGGGGAAAGTGAACGTTCAATGTTCGCCAGGAACATTGGCGCTATCATAAGGTCAGATAGCAGGCAGCCAGAAAGCATATAAATACCAAAACTCGAAAAATGCAATTTTGTGTGTTTACAAAAATTGCAACCATATGTTTTGTGATCATATGTTTTCATGTTGGATAATTTTTGCTGAGTAAAATTTTTCCAGTACAAAATGAACGCTTGCTCTCTCAATTTTTGTGTGTTGGATAATTTTTTGTCGTTATCGAACGCCATCCAGTAAAAATTTGGAAAAACTATTACAAATTTTTGACTTGTCGAACGCAACTATTCTTTCAGGCTTTCAATACATACTCCTCTAATAGTTATCTGCCCTTTCGCTAGTTTTTTGAATGCAAGCATAAAACGAGTTAGGCATCATGTTATCCAAAATGTGCGTGTTGATCTTGTCACGCAAATGAAGGGACCTAAAGTTCTAGTTCGCCTCCGAACGGCAAATGGTTTTTATGAGAAGCGATTTCATGGCAGAAGTACACTCGAAGGTTTGAAAATGCGACGACCGCAGATCGGGAATTGCGTAGAGCCACATTTGCTGGAACTTTATGTGGGATCTGGATGACAGTCTACCTAAAATATTGTGAAAAACTTATTGAAATAGTAACTCTTCTGACTATGAATTTTTGAGAAAAATTATCCTTTTTACCTATTTTAATAAAACTATTTAGCAAAACGAAGAAAACATTTTAACAGGCAGGAAAAACTTAAGCAATTTTGCTTAAATTTAGGCAAAACGGCAACGCTGATCACAAGTGCTCTTAATAAAAAAAGAACTCAGAAATAAGCTTAAACTTATCTGTCACTTACTATTGAAGGCATTAGATAAAATCAAACTAATACAAATGAAAGGATAAATCTGCATATAAAATCCTTAATTAATAGTTTTGGAACAGATATCGATACATTTGTAGTACAAAATATAGTTTCACAGGTTCGTTCAGAACCTATAAGCATTACTAAATTACCAAACAACATTCGACTTGCAGATCCTATATTTGCCAATCTAGGTAAAATTGACATACTACAAGGTGCCGATTTATTCTTTGATTTATTAAAGGAGGAGAAAATTATGGTTGGAAATAAGAACTATCGCTTCCAAAACAGCGTCTTAGGATGGCTAATATATGGATCAGCCAATAAAAAAACAAGTTTAGTTCATTGTGGCAAAGAGAAAGTCATAAATGACCAATTAAAGAAATTTTGGGAAATTGAATCCATCGAAAATAACGATTTTTTTTCAAACCACAGAGGAAATAAAATGTAAGGATCACTTTGAAAATAACTTTAAAATTAAACGTGGACATAGGAGAGTCATCCATACACGCAAAAAGACGATTTTTCTCTTTGGAAAAACGGTTTAAAGGTAATGGTAAACTAAAAACTCAATACAAACAATTCATGAATGAGTATAAGAACCTTGGAGATATGGTAGAAATAAAGAATATAAGTAAACTAGATACAAAATATTACTTACCACTCCATTGCGTCCTAAAGCCAGAGCCGTACAACCAAATTTTGAGTAGTGTTTGATGATTCGTGTAGGACAAATAAAAATGCTTCTCTGCATTCAATCATGCATACTGGACCGTCTTCACTGCAGATATTGAAAAAATGTTTAGACAAATCGTCGCTTGGGGCGCAATACCTCGTATACGCCAAATGCAATACCTCGTATACAATGGTACTGAAATTTTACAGGAGAGCAAGAAAACTGATTTTTGTCAAAAGTACTGGATTGTTTATAAACTGAACATACTTACTATTCGACTGTGGTATCATCAATTTTGTGGAGGCAATATATTAAAGAAAGGATTTTAAAAAGCTGTAAAAATCGCTGTTTTTCATGTACGTGGTATTGCTGATGCGATATTTTTCATTTCAATCTTATACGCGGTATTGAAAATATATACAAAGATAGCAACGTAATCCAGTTTATTTGCAATTAGATAGTTAATTTTACAAATTATCTTAAAAATATTTTATAATATCATTAAATATTAGGCATTAAATATGTAAAAGTTAAGTTTCATACGGCAAATTATCGTAAAAACTGTGACAATCTTTAGGTAAAACTTGGTTTAGTTCTTGTAAATGTTGAAATTTATTTATTTTTATTTTTAAACGAGATAGAAAAAGCTTTTTTAAATTTCTTTTGGAGGGATTTTTTTCCGACGACGGGGTAATGGGATGAAGTCTTTTTTGAGGTCTAGTTTGTATCGAATTGTACCGTTAGGCAAGTAATGAAGCGCACGTAGATCAACAACTACATTATCCCCTGATCCTCGGCCGGTTCGTATAGACTCATATATAAAGGACTTCTGATCACTATAATCATTAAAGAATGAATGATCAATTATTTTAACCTTATATGGGCATTCCCATGGTGGCGCACGTGACAGTCGTACGATTTCAATATGATACAAAAAAGGAATACCATTTGTTTTCTTTAACTTTTTTGGGCCATTGTATAGCACATAATTAGCTCTATATTTAACCGAAAAATGAAATCAATCGAACTGCTTGGTCCTGAAATATAAGCATTTAAAGAGAGTGTCGTTACGTGACAAAAAATGGAAGTTGATTTTTTCTTTTCTTACAAAATCGCAAAACTCTGCGAATTGTGGATGGCTATTTTCATGAAACTTATTTTAATATGATTTGGAGCAATTCTAGTTGTTTTTAGAGTTTTTTGAATTAATGCAAATTGTTTCAATTCTCTTTTACAACCCCAAGTGTGAAACGTGACGTGACGTGGCGTCACGTGACATAAATTTCCATCGTTATATTTTTGTTAATATTGCTTTTAAATGAATTTTCAACGCAAATAAAACATGTATTTTATGTAGAATATACTTTATATTTTGACTTCAGCGCCAATTCAGGGTCAATTTATTGGAAATCTATGATTTATTATGTTTCAACCACATACGCCAAATTCGAACCAAATCGGACCATAAATACGGTTTTTCGAAATATCTCGACCTTGGCATCACCTAGGAAGACCATTTTATGCAAACATGATTCTACTTACATAGCCAGTATATATTTTAAAAAGCAGACAAATCGGCCCGTAAATACGTTAGATATAAAACTTTTATTTTTTTTGTCGTGGTGGACCTTCCGCTGGAAACACCCAAATATAAAATGTAAGTTTGTATTTATATCTGTATGTAGGAATGCTAAATACTCTACTGTGAAGAAACGTTTGTACATACGTACATAAATACATATGTATAATAAGAATGTATTTATGTGCATATGTACATATATTATTTGCGTTTGATAGTCCCAGCAAAGACAGGTGAGAGAAAGTAATAAATGAAGAAGAACAGTGGAATCTGGTATTTGCAAATCTTCCTTTTAACGCTAACAGTGACCCTATTTACATATGTAAATATTTCATTTTTTAAATAGCTAAAAATTTGATGTTTTTGGCACGATTTAAATATAATTTACACTCAGTGGCTTATTTTGTATGCTCTTTCTGAAAAAAAATATGGTTTCAAAAAATTTTATAATATACCGTTATATTTAGTAAATTTTTGACTTTTTCTTCATTATCTGACCCTATTTACATTTGTAAATAAATTAAGTTGGTGGGTTTATTTGGGGATAATTTATGTTTTTATTGTAGATTTTCTTTGAAAATATTAATCAGTCTTACAACAACCATTACATTTCGGTTGAGTTTTGCTATGCTCGACACAATTGGCTTCTTACACTGAACACATATTTTCCGTGTTGAGCGTTTTCTCTTACTTTCTTCGTGATAGCACATATAGCAAGCACCTTTTATGGTTGAATGTCCGCGATCATCTTCATCTGGAATAAAATCCACAGATGTGGAGCTTTTCAAGGAATGAATCGGCTTACCAATTATGCATTCAATTGCATTTTTTGTTGGAAAATATGAGACAACCCTTGGAATGCTTGATCTCTTCAATATCGTTGGCATACACAATTGTTCCGCCAATTCTTCTAGAAACAATCGGCGTCCACCTATTAGCGAAAAAAAATAAATAAAATTAATCATAATCCAACTTTGCTCTCAGCAAATATGTAAACATAATTACCTTTTCTACATGTAAAACGTGACGGATTATTTTCCGAATATACTATATAGGCAGCAAGAGCAGATACGTCGACCATATTATAAAAAACAGCAAGCGGCCAACGATTTGTTTTGCGTTTCGTGGTATATTGCCCCAACATATGATCCATTACATCTACTCCACCTTTGGTATTATTGTAAAATAATATTATATTCGGTTTTTGTTTTACGTCGGAAATTGTGTTGTCACATGGCATTGTTGAAAGTAAAACGACTGCCTTGTTTTTTTTGGTACATAAGAACAAATTGGTTTTTTCTCAACAGCGGTCGTCCCTCGGCAGGCAATGGCAAACCTCCGAATGTATTTCTGCCATGAAAAACAGCTTCTCATAAAAATACAATGCCGTTTGGAGTCGGCGTAAAACTGTAGGTCCCTCCGCTTTGTGTGTCAACATCAAGGCGCACACCACAAGTCGGAGGAGAAGCTCGGCCAAACACTAACATATGTGTAAGCGCCAATCTATTATTATTATTATTATTAAGAACAAATTGTTTTGTCTTCTCCATAGCCGAATATTGTTGAATGTTCTGCTCGTTGCGGTGAGGATTTGAACTCTGAGGGCAAACATGTTTTATTCTTTTTCATCGTTCCAACTATAGATAGTCGCCATTTTGTGAGTGCATCTGCCAATGAAAGACTTATGAAGAAATTTTCGCATGTCACATTTCGTCCGGTGTTTTTATACTGTTCAACTAGATCTTTCACGACTCGCTCTCCTTGATTCTTCTCTCTTTCGCTGCCTGATTTGCCTGTATATATTTGCCCAGTTAGGGGATAGTAGGATTTTGCATCGCATACCCACCACAGCTTTACACCATATTTTGCAGGTTTCGACGGAATATACTGATGTTTTCCCGAGGTCTGTAGTTTTGACGCAAATTAGCATTTAGCATTTCAAATATTTCTGATATTGGAGCTGCTTTGTCAGTTGCGCATCTTTTTTCCCTTGAAGCTTGCTGATCAAAGCGAATAAACCTTGAAATATCTGAGAAGCGTTTTAGGGACATAGTTGCTCGGTACAAAGGAAATGAATTTTTTTGCCAAAGCGACTCAAGTATCTCGTAGTTGGAGTTATGACTACCCATTGCTATTAGTATGCCAAAGTATGCACAGAGTTCTTCCTGAGTAATATCCACCCAATCATATTTTCTGAAGAGTTTTGGGAAGGTTATATTAGAAGCAAGATCACAGGAAATATTACTTTTACTTACTTTGTGTTTTTTTCCACATTTCGACCACGTTCCAGCTTTTGGTACTCAGCTTTGCCTTTTCTATTAGTATTTCTACAAATAATTGTTTGAATTGTAGGATGCATGATATTCAAAAAAGTATCAATAATATTCAAGTGCTTTGTATTCGGATTGGGGCCAATAAAACGACTTTCACGAAATATGTTTTGCTGTCGGATGCGTTGCAAACTGGGTGGTGTTTTGCTCCATTCTGTTCCGTCTTTCGCAAGGAAGAAGTCCTCTTCTGGGTTCTCTGGAACATCAGCTTCTTCTTCGATCTCATCCTCGATGTCTGAGTCACCTCCGTGTCCCATTTCTACGGGACATTCCTCGGTTTCAATATCGGAGGCATCATCATCAATGTTTGGAAGTAATATGGACATATCACCATCATCGTTTACACGGCTCGAAGTAGCTTCTGCTGTTAGTTCTTCATCATCTGACTCAATGCCCTCAACAAGGTTTTCAAAATACTTCATTTGCATATCATACGGAAGCCTATAGTATCAAGGCCATATAAGTTAAAAAAACATAAAACTATATACATACATATGTATGTATTTCATATTTTTCTTACCGGGCCACCGATGAAACACTCAAAACTTTAAACTTTTTATTACTATTTTCCATTTTGATTAGTCAATTGTTCACAATTCACAGAAGTTTACACCACGAAAGACTACAAATAACTGAAGAACATAGATCAGCGTACAACAAGTGAAAACAAATATAACGGTACTCTCAAATGCAAAGAACAAACGCAACAACAACAATTAAAACATATGTAGATAACGCACAAAATATATATCCATGCAAAAAACGCAACAACAACAATTAAAACATAACACGCAAAAAATATTTCCATGCAAAATGTATGAAAATAAATATATTTACAAATGTAAATAGGGTCAGTATTCGAAGAATAAAATTTGTGTCAGAGTCAGGGTTAAGGGATGGGCAATACCGACCTTAATAAATAGAAAACGTACTTGGTTTATTTTCTAGGATGCAGCGCTTAAGGAAAAATCCAAATTTTATAGTTTGAAGTTTAGGTATTCATTTATTTTTTAACATATAATAATTGGTTTATGTAAAACACAACATTTAAACAAATATAAAAGAAAAAAAAACATAATTTGTTTATTTCGCCCTGAAATTGCATTAAAACTTAATCAATAAATTTTTGGTTTTGATGTAAAAATACCAACATATTGACGTTTTTTGGCAGTAAGGCACTTGGCTTGGCTGTAACAATGGGTGTGTACTTGTATTGAGAAGGCAAAATTCTCCAGCAGCAAAAGTTCTGAGAATTTAGCAGCATTCGCTCTCAAAAAGACGAAATATCAACAAAAGTACGAGAACGCAAAATTTGCAAAAACTTGCAACCTTTGAAGCAGCTGATCACTTGCACAGTTGCCACTGGTGNCTCCACTGGTATAAGATTCCCATTCCATCTCAAAAGAACTTTTAGGATTTGTTGCATTAATGAAAAATATCTAATTTAACCTAACCGGATGCATGTTTTTTGCTTTACCTGTCTCCTCTACGCTATATTCCGCACTTAACTCCGACTTTAAGTAGGATAGTATCTCATTGCGAACAGATTCATCTTCATGTCTTAATGATTTGTATCTGGGATCGAAAAAAGAAGACTTCATTCGTGGTGTAACGTCAAATATGTTTTCTTTATGCAAGTACAATTTTGATTTAAAGTTTTCAGCTATTTTAGTTTTAAAACCGTTCAAGGTTTCAAAGCAGTCGACGGAACGTATGCTGACATGCATTTCTACCAAAAATTTTATCATGGGACGGACTATGGATGTCGGGGGTGCAGTTTTCAGAGCAGAAAATTTCTGTCAATATATTTATGGGCTTTAGAATTTCAATTAACTTTTCAATATTTATCCAGTCTATTTCTGTCATTTCAAGTTTTTGGGCTATTTGAGTATTGCTATGTTGACGATCAAGTAAAACATTTGATATAGGCTGTCTATTTGTTAAGATTCTGTCCAGCATACGATAAGTTGAATTCCAGCGAGTGGTATTTTTTGAATTAAGGACCTACTTGGCATATTAAGCTGAAGTTTTTTCTCACGTAATGCGGAGGAGGCGGCAGCAGAATGTTTAAAGTGTCCTACCACTTTGCTAACTTTATTTATTAAAGTTTGAACTTCGGCTATTTCAAAGCTCCTACACGGTGAGCTTCAACAAATTATTATCAAAATTCAAAACAACCACGAAATTCTTTCAAAATGGTATTCTAGGACAAAACAGAAGATATTCCGAACCACAATTAAAATCATCCATCGAGCCCTTTTTGAGTAATTTGGATCTTTCTTAAAAATTGCGTTATTTATGGATAAAAAAGTTATCATGCAAAAAACTATCATAAAAATACATACAGAGGTAAGTATNTAAATGTCAGAAGTAAGTGATGCTTTCCATTTCCAGACAACCGGTCAGGTACGAGCATGATTTTTAATTTCGACCAAACTCAAATACATTGTTTGTTGGTCCAAATAATGAGACACGTATTTTTTCTTTTGGCTCGGAAAAATTTTTCGGCCGAATTAAACGCGATTTTGTTTTTCAGGCAAAAATCGATTATTCGAATTGACAGTGAGAAT